ATTGAAATGTATCCACATCTGAAGAAAACACAGCCATTAACACAGAAAATCCTGTAGGCACTTTAAACTGAAATACGTTTGTTTCCACGGCAATGTTACCTACCTCTTGTTGTGGTGTTATTCAAACTGCTCCTACTTTACCTACAAAGAGGACAACCCACAACCAGACCATGCATTTCCTCAAGAAATCTTTGCAAAGACTGTCAGGTACAGCACGGATTGCCTGTGGTGTTAGTAACCCTACCCAGCAGGAAACACACAGCACACTGTTTTCCCAAGTTGCTGGGAAATTCCTCTGCCCATATTCCACTATTACAGAAATCCCTGAGAACAGGTGTGGCAGAAGCCAAATTTTATGTCAGTTAGCATCAAAACACCCAGATAGCATATGCACAAAGCTGATCCAGATTTCTGAACACACAACAGGTGCCTGAGCTGAGGAAACTACCATCTAAGAAGTTTCCATTGGCAAGTGTAAATACAGATATAGAGAGCACAATTTTTCAAGATGAATGCCAGTGACCAAAGGGGGAAGATAGCCTGGCCTCAAAAACGTCAAAAGACTTCTCCCTTTCTGGGTCAAGTGAAATAGGCCAAAGCACAGTTCTCAGGCAGCACATCAATGTGGGACTGATCTCATGTAGGCAGGTGAGGTGCTGTGCTGTCAGTTCCATCAGCTCCTGCTTCTCAGGAATAAACTAACTTGGTCCGCAGCTTTATCCCTGCTTTCTCCACATAGGTGCTGGTCTCGCAGCCCTTCCCCTGACAATCAGGAAAATCCAAGTTAGATGCCTATGGGGGAGGAGCTGCTATTTTGCAGCTTCTGTAGAACCATGAAATCTTCCTTTGATTCTTCAGAAGAAATGAAATGTAGATTGTTTCCTTGAAAAACAGGATCCACTGCTTTGGAAACAGCCCTTCATTCCTAGGTTCCTTTAAAGCTGAGGACATCAGACACCTAATAGGGTTAATCACACAAACCAATGGCAAGTCTCAACCTGAAGGCAGTTCTGGGTCTTGTGCATCTGCATTAAGTGATGCAGAGCAATTCCTGCCTAAGCACTGTTTCCACACAGCTTTACGAGTCCCTGTAAAGCTACACCAGATCCCTGCATCCCTGCAGCACTGCCCAAGTGTGAAACCATGTGCTCAGCAGTCACACTAGATGGCCCATGTTCTGCTCCACACACTCTGGGATTCTTCTCACTACACACTGTGGGATACCAACCAGCAAGCATCTACCCATTTCTCAGAGCTGCTTTTTCTTACCCTTGTTTCTCTTACTGCAGCTATTTTAACTGCAATATAAAGGAAAGCCAAGGAATTACAGCCCAGTGGTGCAATTCAAACAGGGCGTATGTATCAGCAAGGGCCCTGAACAACACCCTCTTGACTGGCCCAGCAGCAGCTCACTGACCCCAGCTAGCCAGCAGCCAGCCTGGCCTTCTGGCTCCTGTCACAGCCTAATGCCAACCTTCTGATTCACTCCTCACACTCATGGAGCACAACAGGCAATGGTTCCCCTAATGTCTGCAGGGCAGCAATATGGGGACACGCTTACACCAACTAGACTGTGCTTCGTGGCAAAATGAAATCAACTGAGAAACGACCTAACTAAAGCTACAGCAAAAGCACCTGGAACATCCACATCCTGTTTTTGTGTCCACGGCTTGGGAAAGCTGCACAGGGAGCTAATTTGGAAAGGATTCAATAAGTGAGGGGCAGCCCATAACCAGGCAGGTGTTGAAGTGAACGTGGAGAGGCAGCTAACACAGACACAGCTGCTGTCACAGAGCCCAGGCTTCATGCACACTGCTGCCAAGGAGCAGCTGAAGGAGCACCACTTCCACTAATTAACTGGATTTGAACATTGTGGTGGTCAATCTCATTCAGAGAAAATGCACAAAATAGGCCCATCACCTTGGACCACATCAATTACTTGTTGGGGCTCTCTCTTGTGCTGTTCAGCACTGGGAATCCCTCCCTGCTCAGGGTGGCACCAGTTTTCCAGACTCTCCTTCACGCTGTCAAGTCAGAAGGAACAGTTCTCATGTGCAAAGCCCTCCATTGCTATCACAAGTACATCACCTAACGACAATCTTACATAAACAACTTCTTTTCTACAGAGGCATCTAATGAAGGGCCAACAATAAGCACCGCTGTTTGTAAAAATATGGAAGAAATTGTAAAAAAATACCGATGAAACCAAAGTTGCTTGTATTTCCAATTCCACTTGCAAAGGTGAGCTACTACAGTAGCGTGTTACTACCCTGCCCTACCAGTTCCTCTTGGAAATGATGCTCCACCCAAAAGAGCTGTTCCAGCTAAATGTTCTGGGTAAGTTGTTGCTTTATTTCATGTTCCTGGTCCTTGCAGCCCTCCTCCTCCCTTGGCATTATAGCTGTGGTAACAAAAGCCTATAAAACAGGGCCAAGTACACCCACACATGCACTACACTGTTCATAGAAACAGATCTCCCTTTCTGCCACTGAAACTTGCTGCCCAAAAGCAGCTAAAATGGCGCTGGGGATCACGTAGGGATGCCACCGCCTCTCCTCCTCCTCCCTGTCACTTCACTCTTCTTCTTGAGGCTCCCAGAAGCCAGGACAGCCAATCCCTGGACCAGAGATTTCAGCAAACTCTAGACATAAACAGGCACTCTACATGTGCCATGATGGTTTTACATGGAGAGCTGCACGTGCAGTTCAATCCATGCCTGCAGTATCAGGCTGGGTACCTCAGAGCTTTGCAGCTGACCTCCACACACACAGTTCTCCTTGCTCTTTTAGTCACCTTGGAACTAGGCAGTAAACTACCCTGGACAAATAAACTACTGGTTTTTTACGTGGATGCTGTTTGGAGTATCAAAATTAAGAGGACAAGTGGGGATGTGGGAAATCACAAATACCGTTTAAAGGCATTACATTATTTTCACAAACGAGTACAATGAATTTAACAACGAAAGACACGAGAAAGAAAAACTTAAATGCATCCTTTTGTTGTTAAGGAGACAAAAATAACCTTCACTCTCTCACCTACCCCACAGATATTACAAGATGGGATCCAAGTATTGCCAAGATAAGCAACTGAATCAAAACACCTTCCACCCCTCTAATAAAAGTAATTTCCACTACAAGAAGTTTTCAGCCAGATGACCTAGTGAAGGAAGCCATTTCCACCTATTTTGGTACATGAAATTTCAACTCTGATTGCCCACTTAAACCTCTGCTCTCCCCACAACCACATTTTTCTCCTCAACAAGCAGATGAAGAGACAATAAATACTGGTGGGTTACACAGGTGCCACACATCACACCAGCCATTCATGGGCCTGGCCTTAATCTGCATAAACCGTTTGCACTTAGGCTTAAAAAAAGAGATTCAGCCAAGTGATCAAACAGGTGAAAAGACTAAAATTATTTGCTACACAAGCTTGCTGGCTTGCTCCATTTCCTAACTGCCAGATGAAATACTTGCCAAGGGTGGTTCACTTGCTAGTGTTCAGGACTGTATACACTGGGATGTTTTTTGTTGTTGTTAAAGATTTAATGAAACTTTCACCGATACCAATGAACCAACAACAACTTCCCTTTGGCAATGCACAGTGAAATGCTACTTATAACTGCAGTGGCATAATCCAAGCTGGAGTTCCTGCCTCTTTTTTGGATCTTCCCTCCCCCCAGGTAAAATCTCGAGAACAACCCACAGCAGACATGACGAGACAAATACAGCGCATTGCTGAAACTCTGAATCACAGCCTTGCCACTGAATCTACACCTCTATTGCAGGCACAAGGTCCCGTGTGTGAAGCCAAACAAACAAGAAGGATGTGGGTTCACTTCTCTCAAAGTTCCTAGCTTTTGTACTCCCACACCTGCTAAAGCAAACCAAACACCTGAAAACTCTGTACTTTAGTTCAGCTCTGAAAACAGACCCTTTTATTTGTGATACCACAGCTAGGATAAGAAAACAAAATTTTCAAGTTCTTCTCCAAAAGCTTTATTTTCCTGGAGCTCTATTGCACACATCCAGTTAGACATTTCCAAACACATTCCAAGACAGTCGCTCAGCTACACCCATGCAGGTAATTTCACAGACTTGAACAGACAGGTAACATGCATGACGAGTAAAAGCAGCAGGGAACTAAGGGAGTGATGTAATTACAAACACAGCTGGCTAAAACCATTCTGAATATATTTAAGTTTTGAGACATTATGCCAGCCAAGATGTTAATAACTGTGAAAAAAAACCTGTGGGTGATTTTCATACTTATCAAAATAAGGAACTGTTGAGAGCCATTAATATGTGGGTAAATGCTGTCTAAGCTTCCCACACTCAACCCTGCCAACAAGTGCAACAATCCTGCTATTCCAGTCTGGAGCTCCTCCAGAGCAGAATTATTTAATCAAGTTACATTGTGAACTTGCTCTGCAACAAGTTAAACATAAAAAGTTCAATATGTAACAACAAATTTTATCTGTTAGGCTTGCCTGGACCAACATGTTAAGCACTTTTAGATGAACCCACATTAAACTTTAGTGTAAAGGGTATCTCTAAAGCCAAGTTAACATTTTCACAGGCAAGTGTAGAGGAAGAGTGCAAAAGGAGGCTTTGAGAAGCTGCGGTTTAATAATAATTGCTATGAACAGCAGGAGACTCTATGCTTGAGAAAAGAGCATTGATTACTTTTGAAACCTCTCACAAACTCAAAGTACTAAAGAAACTGGACACAAGCCCCTTCTGCACCACTGCCAGAAGAACTCTTCTGCATCTCTTACAGGCCGCTGGTACCTGCCATTAAAAGTAACACTTCGTCTCCTAACATACCATTTCCTAACAGCAGAGAGATTTGTGTTCTTATTTAAGTAAAAAAATTATTTTTAAAAAATGAAAACATTGTCTTATTTGAGACACAGTCTACTCCAAAAATTTCCCTAAGTAAAATCCTACAAACTTCAATACATTTATCCAACAGATGTGCATAAACAGTGTTTCACTGACCTTCAAAGTCCACATCCCCAATTAGTTTGGTTTTTCCTGTAACAGGATCATGGATATGGTTGATGCCTACGTCAATCACAGCTGCACCTTCTTTGACCATATCACTTGTAATCAACTTGGGGATACCTGGAATCATCAACACATATTTAATTACCCGGCCAGGTAGTCTGAGGTTACCAGTCTTGAATGATAAGGGGTGTGCATGCACAGCTATACATGCACAAAAGAAATCTTTTAGTTGAATATTTCTTGATACAGCCCACACTGAAAACAGCTTTTCCTCAATTGCACATGGTTTGTAACTACTGCTACTACAGAAAATAAGAAAAAAAAGCCAAAAAACATCCCACCAGAAGCTGTGCCATAGGATTGGTTTTGGTTCATGAAAGATGCTCAACCAATACGCAATTTTAACTGTTATGGTCATCCCAGAACACAACACTGACCTTGCACAGAGGACAAACCACCATTTCTTACTATTATCAGCAACTTGAGAGACCTCTGCACTCGACACCCAGCCCAGGCACTGCAGACCTTGTGGGCTGCATCTCCGTGGTGTCCTGGGCTAGGAGATTTTTGCTATTAAGAAATTCCAGCTAGAACAGCCACGAACAGCCACCTCAGCTTTTTCATACACACCATATTTCTTCTGCATCTAAAAGTGAAGAACCTTGATATTCATCATGAATAGGTGCTTCAGACAGGACCCAGAAAACCTAAATGGTCACTTCCAAGTCTAGATAATGAAATGGATCCATGGCCACATGACTCCTGTCAGGAACTTCTTCCCTACCATGCAACCTCCAACTTCCAGTGATGGGAACTTCCAAACTAAAAAGGACAATTCACCTTGCTTCTTGAGCAATTCCATGTTTTTTGTTCTGAGAGAAATATTACAGTATCTCACAAAAGCAAGTCTGAACTCCCCTCCCTCCATCAAAGCAGCTTTCTCTCAGTTGGGGAAAAAGCAAAAAGGAAAAGAAACCAAAACCATCCGGTTTGAAACTGCAGTTTTACTGGAGGAAAGCACAGGAGTACAGGGCTTTGGCTCCATGTGCACTGCTGGAGCACAGCCACTCAGCCATTTGGATACAGGCAATACCAGAACACTCTTGGCTCTCCGTTTCTCACTCCCCCATAAGACACCCGCTTCAAACTCTGCTTCTCATGTTGAGCAAGCCAAGATCTCAAACTCCTTCCTAGCCCATTTGATAACATCTGACTGCATCTCCTTCATCCCCCTCTGATGTAATCCATGGCAACCTGGCTGGTAATTGGATAATGCCTCAGCCTTATGGGGGTAAATGATCCGTGTGTGATAGGGCTGGAAGCATATTAGTGGAAGCTGCACAGTTACACCCTTTGTAGAACGGTTTGATAATATGCCAAATATTTAATAGCAACAAATGAACTAACCCCCAAACCAAACGAGCATATCTATTTACTTAAACCTACTTTACATACCGAGTAGGAAGGGATAAACATTAGAGCAGCTTTTCCTAAAATGCACTGACTGAAGAATATAGGAAAACCCTTCATTGATAATTTTTTGTAAAAAATGATGAATCACATCTTAAACAAAGGAAAAACAAGGCCTAATCTGAGTTTAGGCGCAAGTACTGTCAAACGGCCCATTTCTAAGAAAGCTAACCAGAATAAAGGGTCTGATTAACCAGCACTTTCTATGCAAGAGGACCACAGATCATGGCCCGAGGGACAGCACAAGTACTCCAAGCAGAATTGATCGGGCATTTGGCACAGTCGATACTTTTTATCTTGACCCCCTCTCCAAATGCAGCAGCCAGATGAATCCTGTTTGCCTCACCAGACTGGAAAGCCCGGAGAGCATAGCAAGTGACTGGTTCAAGAGTCCTGCAGAGGCTCGAGGAGGGTAAAGCTGCACTCACACTCGTGCCACAGGGCCGGGCCCATGGCACAAAGAACACACCCCATGGGATGTCTCTGCAGGCAGGGACAGCAGGCCCAGATGGGAAACGCTGTGGTGGGATACTAAGTGACACGTGTGCTTAACAGGAAACGCCATGCTTTGGATAAAAATCCAAAAGCTGCACAGCACTGAAAGAGATTTTAGGGAGGGGTAGGCTGGACCAGAGCAGCGCTGTCAGAACTTAAGATGCAAGCAGTTGGGGAGGAATAAGAAAGAAGGAATAAACCGCATGGATAGTTAGAATCCAAGTAAGCAGGAAAACTGGTGCCCCAAGCCTGGGGGCAAATAAACGAGAGACAGGACACAGAGATGCATCTTCTCATACTAAGAAGTAACAGAGAAAAGAAGCACCTGATTCAAAGTATTACCAAAACCACGAAAGCAAGTGAACAGAAAAGCACTCAGAGGTGGAGCACCAGATCAGAACAGACTCACTGCAACCAGTCACCAATCAGGAGCCAGGATGCAGATGGCTCTTGTCAAAGTTCTACATAGGAAAAGGAATCCTGGTCTTCGGTGCAGGCACATGCAAAAACATCTCTTTTCCATATGCACATCTTCTGCAGCTGTTCCAACCTGGCAGGGTACAAGTTACCTTTTTTGCAACACTCACTGAACAGGTCACCCATTTCCGGGGAGTGTGTGATGCACGAGGTACAACATGCACAGTTCTCATGTAACAAAAGGAAGCTTGGAGTGATTCCACCTTTGTAAAGCACAGCCTTCCCCAGAGCACCCACTGGGGCAGGGCCGTGTGCTGTTTGCACAACCTAGCCCTAGGTTTTTTCATCATTCCAAGTATATCTCAAGTTGTGTAAGGAGTGCTGTATCATGCTTCTGTTAGAAATGACACAAGGAAAATAATGTGAAAGGTAAACATGGCTGAATTGCTAGTGACCATTTAACTCCAAGCATAAACAATGACAAACCACGTTCAGCACAAAAATCCGAAGTGATGACTAAACTGCAAGCAGTGAATTTGGATGAAGAGTTACTGGTTTATTCCTGGTTAGCACACCATTGCTGTCTTTCATTCACAGTGGTGAATTCTGGTCAGGCCCACAGTTGAACAATCAGATGTGGGAGACATAAGTTGTGTCTTGCTGCTGGCCCACCTTAGGTAAGAGGCAATGAAGTGAAACCCTGAAGGAAAGGGCATCTCACTTCAACAGGAAGGGACAAGATTTAGACAAGGACCTGACTGTCTTCACCTAGAAAACACGTAAGCAAGTCTTGGGTCCTGAGGATGAAGAAGAAGGGGAAAAGGAAAAGAGGAAAGACACAACCCAAGACAGCTAAAGACAGTACAAGAGAAGGATGCTATCTCTGAGCTGCAAAGGGACCCAGAATTTTACTAAGGTCATACTAAGCTGGGTTGTTTGTTTTTTTTTATTTCTACATGTAATACCTGTAAACAAATAACAAAGGCTGCTTAGAAGCAGATTTCTGCCTTGTTTCTTTGGGACAGAATAGGTAAACTTTAAGTATTTCAGTTTATATTGCTTTCAGAGTATAGACACTGATCTTTCAGTCCCTTTCCTCTAGGAAATTACCATTCCCTTTCTCTTGACATGATAATTGTAAAAGAGAAAAAACCCAGCCATTAATAACATAGGTTACCCAAATCTCCAGTTAATTTGGCAAGGTCGGCCTTAATTCCAACACCAGGGAAATGATACTACGGTTTTATGAATGCAGCCTCCAGCTGACTTAAAGAAACCCTCCTGTCAAAATTTAAATGACTCATGATTTTTCCATGGCACAGAGAACGTTTTAATTTACATAATTATACCTGTATAAACTATGCACTGACTGGTTCCCAATCTTGAGTTCACTCTGAAGTCTCCCTAAGGGAAAGGTGTCGCATGTGACGAGAAACAGTTTATGAGTCTGCAAATGTGAAGGGCAAGAACAAAGAGCCAAATCGCTTGCCCTTCCTACAGTGAGAAATCCTACCCACTGCAACACCCCCCACGAGCACCCATTATTCAGTAGAACGTGAAACAGCCAGTGCCACAGACACAAAGTCCTCTTTTTAGGTCTGAAACGCTGCAATTGGGGTATTAACAACAACCAGTATTACCTGCAGCAACTATTACTATGTCAGCGAGCTGCGTATGGATCTTGAGCTGCTCTTTTGGGGTATATCTGTGAGTAATGGTCACTGTAGCATCACCTGAAATGGAAGGGAAAAGCAATTAATTCAGATGTAAAATGCTATATAAAGTAAAGCATTTACTTTCAGATGCAAATTACTTACTTTGCAACATTGACAACAGTACAGATGATCAGATTTGTCTTGGGATTTGACTTAAATCAGCAGAGGCAGAACACTCACTTGCTGCTCACCCATATGAAAAAACATTTCTTCTTAAAAACTCTCCCATTTATGTATTGTGAACTGAATGCCCTTCCATAGCTTTGCTGCGTTCAGTGGAACTCCACAAAGCAAAGCCAGCACAGAATCCAGCGTCTGCTTTATCAAGCCCAGTTTGCACACGGTGCTGCAAGACTCAGCTATTTGCCACACACAAAAGCGTCAATACAAGACCACCAGTAGAAGCACGAGAAGCACATATCCTTCTGCTCCTGTGGACCCACATTTCTTGGCAGGAGCTAGGAATAGCAAGAGCTCCCAGTAAGACAGGAAAAATCCTTGCTGTGTTTGATGGAGATGCTAAGGAGAGACCACAACATGAACAGTCACAGGGAGAGGGTCTGCAGTCTCCACTGCATCCCACAGCAGGTGTGGTACTCCCTTGAGGACTGCCCAAGCAAGCAGCAAAGAGAACAGCTCCCAAAGAAGCCTCCTCCCAGCCCTCTCTGCAGTTATTTGTACTGCACGGGGTTCAGGTGTTAGATACCCCATCTCTGCCTTCCACTCCTCACAGACACCTAGGCCATGTTACTTGCAACTAAACTAAAACCTTTTGCCTTCTCAGACATGACCATCACTTCTGCTTCCTTTGGAATGTGTCTGACTGATCTCATCCGTGCCTCTCACTTTATTAACTCACTCAGGCATCTCATCTTCAACCTTCTCTGTGTTCTGGCTTCTCTACGCTTTCCACTCACCTTTTCTCCCTCTTCTTCAGGCTCTACAGTGCACATCATCCCCCCATGGACAACCAGATCAAGACATTTGCAGATAACAAAAACAGAAAAGTACAGGCTTGGAAAAAACCAGAGGCGCCTTCTGATACCTGCTTTAAGCAAAAGAAGTATGTCTTGCCCAAAATCACAATCATTACTCGGCAGGAAGGTTGACAAAAACCAATGGAAAAAAACCCAAGGGTACAATGTTATCTCTGAGGAATAAAATTGGTGCTAATTTGCCTCTAAGATTTTAGTAAGCAATGTGTCTGTAGTCAGCTCCTGAAACCAAGTAATTTTTTTCACTACCAAAAAGGAAAGGAGAAAAAAAGGGGGGGAAAAAATAAAAGCCCCTACCTTGAGAATAGCAGTCCAGAAGCTTACAGACACATCAGAAAGGGGAGGTTTTCCATTTATTTGTGATCATGCCCAAACAGAAAATAAACAACTATTTTTACACTGCTACTTCTGCTGAAAGAAGAGGAATATATTTAACGATTAAGATTCCACATGATAATCCCAAGTCAATTCCCTAGCTTATAAAACAGAGATAGTCTCTTGACCTGCCTACACAGAACATGATTTATTTTGGAAGGCGTTCACAGAGCTTTTCCACCTGATCAGATATTGCCACCTGCAGGACATGAGTGTATCTCCATATGAAACATCACAAATTAAGACAGTCCTCAACTTTTAATTTTCGTTCATAATCTATAAAGAAAACCAACCAAAGCCTACAACAAAATAAGAAATAAAAAAAATAGCACCATACACACACACCCCTTGCATCATTTTTCAATAAAAATATTTAATCAAATCAGTCCAGATGTTGAAAAACTCTTTCTTGACTGAATCTGCAAAAGTTCTTTTCAGCATTTCAATGTAGGTCTTTTCTGGTCCCTATCCTACTGAGTTTAAAAAATTAAAAAAAAAAAGGAAAAAAGAAAAAGAAAACACTGACACCATGGTCTAGCCTGCCTTCCTTTCCACACGCCATCTAGGCTCATCTCTTGCTGCTCACAGCAGAAGCAGAAATTAAACCCCAGTGCAGAAGATGAACCAGACCTTCATGGAGAGCCCCACCTGTGAGTCAGGGAGGAAAACTCCACCTAAGCACCCCAAATACAGAAGTATTTATCATCTTGTACACAGCATACACATACACACTTAATGCCAGCTCACTATCAGAGAAGTTCGTGTTCCTTTGTTTTCTCATTGCCAGCTGCTTTATACTGTGTGCCAACACTCAAGACTGGAAAACTAAAAAACTACCTGAGAAATAAATCGGTTTCTTCAGATTAGGCCAAGATAAATTTGACAAGTTAACTCTGTATCTAGGCTCCAGTGGCACTAAGGGAACGTTGTTCTGTCCCTACACCAAATACACGACATACTTAGAACCACTGACAATGCCAGCAAGCAGGGTTGCCAGGGAAGTCACCTGAACAGAACACTGGCAGAAGACCGTGAAGCACCACAAAAAACTCACAGACTGGGCCCTTAAAACAAGCTGCACTACCAGACAGTCAAACACGAACTAGAAACCCAAGATACAAGACAACAAAACTGAGCTGTGGATCCAAATGCACCCAAAAGCTGGAAGCTACAAACGGTATTTAGTTACAGCTAAAAACTGCCCAGGCAGCTGCTGAGAGTTTTGCAACAGGCCGCTGAAAGCATCACAGGCCAATAGGTCTCCTCATTGCCAGGTGGGAAACGTGTAAGTAGCTTATAACATGACTTTTTGTTGTACCAAGCCTACTTAAAACATCAGCTGCACTGCCAGTAACAAATGTCACCAGTATTTGCAATAAATGGCAAAAATGCTACTAATTTTCGTGGGAATGAGGATGAGAGCAGACCTATGCACCGATGGTAATTACAATTCAAGCACTGAGAGAAGTTACAAATAACTTTCCCACAGAGGCTGAATGGAAAAACCAACTCTATGATTAGTGTAAAGCTTTTAGTGTTTTACTATAATAACAGATTTCACTCTGTTCCAGTTAAACAGGCCTGGGATTAAATGTCCGTGTTTACCTCATTTGTGCACACTGCCATGGCAGTTTCTAACATCAAAATGAAGTTGCAAAAGGGCAGCATTCTATCTAAATTATATTTGTTTTAATTTCTACAGCACAATTACAGCAGCACATGTAGGCTTCTGTAATTAGAGTTGCAAAAATATTTCCACCACAACACCCAATTTCCAGGGGGATATAAACTGCACTGCAGAAAAATCCCCCAGGCCAACAAGTCATCATAGAGCTCACGCTGCAAAGTTCCTTGCTTGGTCATTTGGTATTTTCATAAGCAACAGCTCACTGACCTAGCACAACACCAGGGTCATGCCACACCTTTTTTTGTTCACACATAAAGGTGTATGTACACATACGTGTATGTGTGTGCTCACGTGTGTATGAAAAATGAAATCAATATTGAACAAGCATGAGGATAAACAGCTACATTGTATAAATATCACAGGAGTCTCCGCAGCTCTTCGGGGCCTCACTGCCATCAGCACCCTCAAGGACCAGTTGAAATAGTAGCTGTTTCAAATGGAGGAGGAAGTGATGACTTAACACCAGAAAAAGTCAAGTCCAGAAATTGCTCTCCTGAGAATAAGTCAGGAAATGTTTATTTTCTTGGTCTGCTTGCAAGTACTGACATGAATGGAAAGTTTTCTCTTTAAATCTGAGTCCTCTAGTCAGCTTGATTTTCAAGACTTCACAAACGGAAACATTGGGACAACATTGCTGCACTTACCTCCAGGCCTTTCGTGCTCTCCATCAGTATGTAAAAGCATTGCAATAGGCATTCCAACATTTTTAGATCTTCCAGCTACAAGAACATTTTTTCCAAATGTTTGTATTCCTTGTAGGAAAAAAAAAGAAATAAAAAATTTTATTCCACTACTTTGAGACATCTAAACCCTTCTTCTCAACTCCCATGACAGAATTATTTGTTGCTGTGGGTTGCAGACATAAACACGACTTGAAAATCCACAAGGCTGAATTTGAGGGATGAATCCACAAAACTTTCAGCTTTGACCTTGGAGAAAGAAAACTGGTAACTTATTCAGGTTATCTGAATCACCCCTAGCAAAGACTTAATTTCCTTGCTCCAGCCACAAAGGGAAGCACTTAACTCTACCAGTAAGAGCATGTACACTCTAAATAAAAAAAATTACAGCTATGGAACACATCGGTATTTTTCCCCTTCTGGTACTGAATTAAGTGCTCCCATTTCTTGTTCTTGTTTTTTTCCCCTTCTCCACAAGAAATTACACATTCAAATCTTATATCTACCAATAGAACAGCACAGAAATTTTCCTGCGAACCTATAAAATTCAGAAAGTTACTCAAGTGTTCCACCGAATACTACTGTCTACACTTCATTAATAGTTGTGCCAATGGCACAAGAACCCATCTACTTGGCAACTCATTATTATTCAGACTAATGCTCTAAACATTTGTTCTTCAATCACCTCAATGCATTTAGATAACCTAGACCTTCTAGCTGACATCCAAGTTAAGCCTTAGTTCATCTCCCAGGATAAAAAGAGTTTCAGGACAGGTGAGTCTCTTACCTGTCCGTTTAATGATTTCCCAGACGGCAGCAGCAGTGGCAGGGATGACGGAAGGCTGATCCAGACACAGGCGTCCAATGTTCTCGATGTGGAATCCATCCACATCCTTCTCGGGGGCGATGGCGTTGCACACTGTGCGCTCATCCATGTGATCTAGGAGGCACACAGCTCTCACCCACAGCTCCTCCACTTGCCAGGTGCCACCAACAACACCAGAGTCACTGCACAAACAAACACGCAGCCCAGACCCAGCCGGGGTCATTCATTATGGCTCTCGACTGAACAAACTACACTCCCCCTAAAGGCAATGGCATCTTTTCAGGTAGTTTGCTGAAAATTAGGGTAAGGCATTTGTCATAGTGTTAATACAACAAATTCTGTCAAAATATGGCAGTCCAGTCAGCACTCAGCTGAAAACGAGGACAGTAACTACAGAAGAAATGTTTAAGCAACTCACTTCTGCAATCTGCAAGTCTTAAATATGAAGTGGCTCAAAAACCCCAACAAAGCACAGGGAAACAGTTATATGTGTTTTCCTGGTTTCTAAGCCCACAGAGGATACGCGAGCTAATTTTTAAACAAACTCACGGAAATCTCAAACTGAAATAATTTTGCAGGTCTAGCTGTCCTTTTCCAAAAAAAATTATTCTTTTTAGTCAACTCTTAATCAGTAGGACCAAACCATCCTACTTCATTAGAAAACTGAAAATACACAAAACTGATATTGGTGATTGCAAAACACTATGGCTTGAATTACACTGTCTGCACATAACTTCGTATTCATAGTGAATATTTTCCATATGCGCTAATGATACAGGACAGCTCTGCAACTGCTTAAAGCTTACACTACATTAACATTAGAACTGATTATGAGAAAATGTTTGCCAACCTCTCTCTGCAGAGTTACAAACTCAAGCATAAACCTGGAACATCGAACACCACAGAGGGACAGCTCCACAAAACATCCCATACTGACCCAAATCGTAAACTGTGTTCAATGACTGACCCACGGCGAGCCGCAAAATGGCGGCCACTGACCCACGGCCTTATCCAAAAGGGCAGTGACTGAGCCATGGCCGGCAGTAACCCAGACCTGTTGGAAGGTTTTTTCCAGGAGAAAGTCAAGCTGACCCCCAGAGCGGGTAAATGGGGAGAAAGCCACTGACCCTCCGTGGGTTAAAGACCAGTTTGTTAATGAACTCCTGAGAACTGGGTTGTTTCTCCCAAGTACAAATAAGAGTGAATCAAAGTACCTACCCCTAAAAACCTGACAAGAGGGCTGGGGCTTGACAAATTTCAACTCAGAGCAAAAGTGCTTTTTTGCATCTCTTACATCACCCATTCCAGCCACAACCTGAACTGTATTCTGCAACTGTGTGCCAAGACACCCCAATGTCCCAATCAGAGAGCACTACAACAGGTTTTAAAAAACCAAACAAAGGAAAACGAGCATCAATAAGGAAACTCTGATGTTGCCAGGAAAATATTTTAGAGACATAAACAGGATGTTTTAATTTAGTAGGTTTTTGTGGTTTTCTATTAAAAGGAGCTAGATAATTAAAAGATAAGCATGTTGTAGACATTAACCATGGTAATCTCCTGTTAGACATTTCCAATTAAAAAAACCCTAAAATTAAACCAGGCTGCTATGATATACAATTTCATTCTCCATTATTTTTACGAGAGGAAGTTGCCTTCTGAATGCTAATGAGAAAAGACAGCAGAAATTAAGATATTAAGTACATTGATGAAAGAGTCTCTTAGAACTGAAACTTGCCTCACAGAGACTGAAAGCAACCATAACCTTGTTTTTATATCAACTTGATGATTAAAAAACAACAAAAAAAATTGGAGTAACCTATTAAATGGCTTTTGCAAAAGAGAACTTGTTACCCTTAGGCAAGTCAGTTGTTCATCCAACACAAACTTGGCAGCCATGCTTTTCCCTGTGCCTAGGATGAGTGGAACACTGCTCTGAAAAACACCTCCTCCACACTGTCTTGAGCTTCCCAGAAACAGACAGATAATAGATATAAACACTTTAAAGGAAAAAAAAGAAAGCTCATGGATGGATTACATGGATGTTTTCCCCACTCAAAACTGATTTGCAGAACTTCACAACAGGGTTTACAGTAGTAGGAAGAAATGCAGCTGCACCGTCGGGGACAAGTGAGCTGTGGGCCTGAGAAGAGGATGTGGACACTTTGCTTCTCCTTCAGGGATGCTTCCAAAACACTGTCCTGGGCAGGCCACAAACAACAAACCACTCAACCCAACTCAAACTGCAGAGACAGTCACTACATTATTTAATTAGCAGATTCTGTTAGCCCCAAGAAATGCCTTTTCCTGGTTTGCTCCCACATGCCTTCTTTATTTCCAGAAGAACAAAACAATTTCTTAATTATCTTATTGTCAGGCTCATAAAACATCAACTGATAACTGTACAAATTCCTTTGCTGTCAACCCAAGCCACTCTCCAGGACAAGATCCTCTCTGCCCTTCTCCTCTCACCTGTCAGCTAAACTTGCAGGACTACACTGGGCATCTCCTGCCAAGCATTTGCACACAGAGAAACTATTTACACAACAACCGCCTGTGGTGCTGGCACACAGAAAATAAAGACTGGCTTTCAAAAAGGAAGACTAATGAAAATAATGGCATAACACAAAAGAGGTTTGAAAAAAATACTGGATGGATTTTTAATCTTCTGTCTCAAATAGATGAACATTTTGTGGCCTGACAGCAGAGGTACAACTGACACCAGTGTCAGTCTCTTCCTATCTTAAAAACTCCTTCTCTGCATGAGCTCCCCACGGGGAGTTCCACACAGCACAGACTGCTTTGTTCCCTCTGCGAGATTCCTTCTTCTTCCTGCATGACCACCTAACTCCATCCTGTCCCTCACACAGCATCACACCAGGTCTGTCCCCTGCACAAGCCCTGCAGCCCGCTCTTTTATAACACCCACCCTGGCAGGGCAGGCAAGGCTGCTCCCGCTCCTGGGTAATCAGCACAGCTGCAATTCACTGCGGGAGATTGCCTTCAGCACTATTCTCACAAAGCTCCTCCCACAGCGGCCATCTCCCAGGCAACTCAAACTAAGATACAAGAAAGTCTCCTGAAAACTATCACAATGCACTCAAACGGCGAACAGGAAACAAGTTCTCCTCAGGCAAAGATGACAATGCTCAAAGTAAAGCTGCTCACATTAGTGCAACAAAGCTATTTCTGATCCCATGTTTAACCCGATGTTGATCCAAAGCCATACCTTGTGTGGCTTACTGCAAAAAAGCCCCAAACCCCACACAAGAACCACAGTTCTGGAATAAGCAGCCTCCGCTGATAAAGGTTTCACAACTTCTAGGCTTCGTGTCCTTCCATTACAAAGCAAATTAAAAAAAAAAAAATTGGAAAATGAGCTAACCTGGCTTTTGACCCTTTAATCTATATAGTTCCTTTGAGGAAAAAAAAGTAATTCAGTTATCTTTGTAATATTTGACATCTGTTATGGAAAGAACTTACTGAACATTTCCAGTTCATGCCAAATTGAACATTTAACTTTAGTATACAGACACTGCAATACTGACAAAGTTCTGCTATTGACTAAACTGTTCTAAGGCTTTTCCTAATGCAAGCAACAGCCATGCCTGCCTGATAGGTTGGATGGAGGCTAGTTAGTCTTCATGTAGGTATTGTGGTATATGTGTCACAGTTCTTGAGAGGAACCTTCAACCAATTTTAGGACTAACCTTTATCGAAGGACTTCAGCATTTCAGTGTAAAAGCATCAAACATTTCAACTGACACAGCTGGAATTATCTTCAGGCTTTTTTCCTTTTCTCGTGCTGATCAGGTTTAAACTCACTACATTTCAAGACTAAAAGAAGTTCTGAACTGTGCACTGAGTAAAGCAGACAGCTCAAGAGCAGAGTGTGGCAACCTGATATCCTCCTCATAAATGCATTTCTACAAGTGGTACCTAACCATTTCCCTGAGTACCCTCACCAGCAAGACACCAGTAAATCACACCTCCCATTTCTGGGGAACACAAGCCTGCTTCCTTTGCTACAGGCTTCAGGCAGGACGATTTCCCTCCCCAGGCTGACAGCGCTCCATCTTTTGCAGTTCTCATGGCTGCAATGAAACTCTGTTAATCGCCTGCTGCTGCTAATCTCTGTTAGTGGGAGAGGTGTTTGGATCCGTAAGGATGTGGCTCCTTACTTGGGTTATACTTCCACCTTGTGGCAAATTTATTTCAGTACACGGCCCATTCCAGGCAGCTTTCATGTAACACCGAGGGCAAACCTTTGTCACCCATTTCCCATCTTATCCCGAACACTGCTGTTTATCATAAATACAACCAAAGCATTTTTTCCTCCATAACTCTCAGCACCTGCCCCAGTTTTCCTGTTTTATAGATAAAAACAGTTTTAGTTTAGTTTCTTTTTAATTTGCAAGTTTTGTCACTGCAAAGATACCACATTGCCAGCTACTCCCTGGCGATATTTCAGTGAGATTTTATTATGAATTAGGAGAAGGTAAATAAAAAGCCCAAAAATTTAGTCAAGATTTTTTTCTTTAAAATGAACTGCACATTCAAAAAAAAATAAAAATTAACATATCAGCTAACCTTTTATTATGCATGTTATCTTTCAATAGTTTCTTATGTCTCTCAAGTACACTTGCAGCCCAGAACTACTGAACTTTTACTCCTACATAGACTGCATACGAGGAGTGGGACAAAGATGTCACATACCTGGGAGAGGTAGCTGAACTAGTAAACCACTAACTCTTGAATCCTTGTTGAGTTTTACTGTCATATCCAGGAGCTCTTCCTGCGAAATGTCTTTAGGCCTCACTATGACCTCACTAGAAATGCCTGATAAAAACAAAAACCAGAAAACATGTCAGAATAAGGAAATTGAGTGATGTGCAGCTTAGTCATTTAGTACAAAAATCTGCCTGATTCTTAACACCTGCTTCCAAACACCATTTTAATAAGCAAAATGAAACTTAGGGTTCCCATTCAAACCACATTAAAGCTACTTTCTTCATACATCCATGGAATTCCTTAGGTCCATCAGAGAAAACACGGAAGAAATTGGTGCAAAATTTAATTAAGACACTGAGGGGATTGCCCCTGCTTTATTTCTGTCCTTTTAAGTAAGAATATCTTGCGCTTACCAAAGGAACACTTCTATGACATACCCACAGCTGCAGCTGCTTTTATCTTGTTCCTGACATAGATGTGACTGGCTGGGTTGTCTCCCACTAAGATGACAGCGAGGTGAGGCCTCTGGTTCCCAGCAGATATCCAGGATTCCACGTCCCTTCGAACTTCTTTCAACACCTGGTGAGCAAGCTTTGTGCCTGAGATAACGGTTGCTTCGTCACTATGAAGACAAAAAGATGCACAATATTTAGGTCCCAAATTCCACCAGGAAGAAGACACCTTCAAGTGTGTGATCTACCATTTTAAACACTGCCAAACGTTTTGATTCACGCGCTAGCATCTCAAATATTATTTGAAAAACATTAAGACACTACAAATTCACATGGGAAAAGAAGAGTTTCCCCACTCTCTTCTCTGAAGAGCATGGATGTGCCATCAGTGCACATGGAAGAGGAGCTCACCAGCCACAACTCACCTTCCCAACACACACAGCCAGCCATGTCAACTTAGATGAAATCCTGCATTTTGGAATAAAACATGAGAATGTTTTAAGGAAAGTTACCCATTTCCCATCTCAAATTTCCTTAGAAATGGATTTGACATAGGATTATTTACACTATTTTTTGTCCAGGCCTCAATGATACATTTCTCATATTTCATAGCTGCTGGGAAGGGAGTCAGTAAATAGCATTTCTCATATCTGTAAAATATAAAAATAGCAAATACTGAAATATGTTGATGCTTCTTAGGTTTAGAATCTAAATAGTTTAAGTCCTTTGATGGAAATATCATACAAGAACTGCATGAACAAATAAAGCATCGCCTGTACAGAAAGCTTACACTGCAGCAGGCTATTTAAGACATCGAAACTAAGTCATTAATTGTTATTATTGTAAATTTTATACACATTAAAACATTGAAAAATTGACCAGGTGTTGAACAATGACAGGTTTAATGATAGAGCTGTGGCAGATTTCACGACCACGTTAAATGACAGACTTAATATGTGTTACTACACCGTCCTGTTCCACTGTTATCCCAACCACCCTTGGATGCTCTTACTCTGAACCCAGCATGGATTTACAACAGAAAATTCTTCTGGTTTATGAATCCAGTGACTTGTAGGACATGACAGAAACAAGGATCTGCACTGCTATTTTAAATCAATTTGTTCTCTAAAAGCCTGAGACCATATAGAGCATCACAACAGAACACGTCCCACACCCCAGGAAAACCTCTGGAAAATTATTAGTGCAGGACTATCTATGTTTTGCAGAACTGGAAAAAACAGTTACTAGCAGCCCAGAACAGAAGTAGGATGTGCACTGGTCCTGAAATACAGCTGTTTCTCCCAAAACTGGCAGAATCAATTCTCAATACACAGAACATCCAAGGGCTCAGATGCTTATTTCAATGGGTGTTCAGCTCACTCATCTTTTCATTCTTGAAATCACAAAGATAGTGCTTTCAGCATTAGCACCTGGGACCTGCTGAATCTCTTTAGTGAACTTTCAGCCAGGTCTTAAGACAATTACATATAAATTAAAAAGGGCTCACAAGCAGGAGCTCAGAGAGACCCTCCCATGCACACCCAAGCAAGAGCTCAGAACTGCAGTGCTGCAAAACCAACACCGGAATCCCTTTGCAGAGAGGGCAATAAATTAAACACGGGGAGATTACTGTCAGGACACTGATCTCCACTGCACCAAAGCATGCCCTGTTTGCCATCGAATGATAAATGTATACAGTAATTCTGAATAAATCCACTGACAGGCTCTTTAAGGAGCAAGCAAACGTGTACTCACAGATTCCCTTCTGGGAGGGGGCTGGAAGGGCTACTTCAATTTCAAGGGCACCGGTTAAACCCCCGCTGGATCACCAAGGCCAGGGCCACGGCCCGCTTCTCCTCCCGCTCTCCCGCTGGTTCTTCCCCGTTTCCCCAGGGAGAACCGCGGAACCCAGTGGGGATCCGAGGGCATCCACCCCGAAGGGAGATGGCGGGGGACCCGAGCCCGGTGATCCCTCACGCCTCTCGCACCCTTGGGACCCGCCGCGCCATGAGGGGGGCGAGGATGAGGAGGAGGATGAGGAGGAGGAAGGAGGAGAATGAAAAGGAAAAAGATCCGATCGGCGCAAGGTACCTGGCGGCGCTGCGAGGGGAGCTGCTGGTGCTGCGAGCGAGGCCTCGCCACCGCCTCAGGCTCGCCCAGCCCGGGCGCAGCAGCGCGGCGGAGGAGGAGGAGGAGAAGGAGAAGGAGAAGGCTGCGGTGGCCGCCGCCATGTCGGCCGGTCCCCGCGGAAGGAAGCGACGCCGCAACCAAGCGACGAGGGGAGGAGGCGGGACCGCGGCCGGCACCGGGATGGCGGCAGCGGCGGGAGGAGCTCGGGGCCGGGTGGAGCTGAGGGAAGGGCGGGCCTGAGGGAGGGGAGATGCTGAGCCCGCGTCGACGTGACAGCGACGTGGAGCCTCGGGGTGCAGCTGGAGCAGCGCAAACGATGCCCCCAAAGACGGGCTCCGGCTGCAGCCTTTGGTTCCCGTGGGCTGCACAATATGGAGCAGACACGGGGCTCCACGGACAAGCAATTATTCCCTGCACCCTCGTGTTTTCTGAGGGGGAAGCCTCATGGAATGGCTTGCAACCTGCATATTGGTGCCCTCTGCCACGTTCAATGGCAGATTTTATAGTAAAAAGTCGCCTGTGCAGAGCGGAACAAGAAAACAAACCAAGATCTGAAATAGCATGTTAAAAGCATGCCAAAATAGTAATATAAAGTTGGGAATAACTTTGGAAAGATGTGTCAGCTTTGTGAGGCTTCATGTTCTGCTATGGTCCTGGCAAAGTTTTCTATGAGTTAAGTGTTTCCAAAAGGAATGTGGCCCAGGTGCTTCCACAGACAGTGTGCATGCTAGGTTTTAGGGCTTGTCCTTTCCAAAATATTATTCTTACCAAATTATAGCCTAGATAAAAACACCCCATTTTATGGGGATGGGGTCCTCCCGTCCCTCAGCGCCGTCCGTCCTCAGCTCCTCCCGCCCCGCTGCCACCCGGATCTCGCTGCTTTTCCCGGCTCTTCCCCTCATCCCTTGGTGGCGGCTCCGCTCTCACCTGTGGGGTGCGACCGACATGGCTGTGCCCACCACGGGGCTGCTCTTCTCCTCCTTCTGCTCCGCGCTGCTGCTCCCGGGCCGGGCGCCGCGGAGGCCATGGCGAACCTTCACCTTCACCTTCACCTTCACCTTCACCTTCACCTTCACCTTCACCTTCACCTTCACCTTCACTTTCCTGCCGGCTCCCCGGCCGGCTGCAGCGCCAGCAGCGCCCCTCGCAGCGCCGCCAGGAGTTTTCCTCATGGCTCCTTCCTCCTCGTCCCCCTCATCCTCCTCGTCCCCCTCATCCTCCTCGTCCCCCTCATCCTCCTCGTCCCCCTCACGCTGTGGCGGGAAGCGCGCGGGGGCGAAAAGGGCGCGAAACGCCTGAGGGGGCGGCGGGCTCGGCCGTCGGTCCATGCCTGACAGAAAAAACGCCGAGTGATGTTACTTTCTGGGATTGTCTATAAATGAGTGTTGTCCCGTTTGGGAAGTGACGAGAGGATGGACATAACAGGTATGAGGACTGCTGGCAACTTCAGTGTGGATTTGATTCGTTTTAAATTCATAAAGACATCTTTTATTGACTTAAGTAGCAGTGCTAATTTTATCTGCGTACCCAAGTAAAAGCAAGATAAAATGCTGGGTTTATTTTGATGATTTGTTATCAGAAAAAAAAAGAATTATAATTTGTAATTTTTTTTCATTTAATAGAATAAGCTTTAATGTAAGATTCACAGGAGGATCCCCTTATCACACAGAATTTGTAATGCGTGGTTAGACTACACACTAGAATTCTTGGCAAGACCTGCAATTCTTAATGATTCTTTTAGAATAACCCAAAAGTCAGCCTTCTAGTAGCAATAGTTATTGTCTATCACTTATTTTGTAGTAGGGAAACTGCTATTTCAGGTAAATCAGATCTAAATTATTTCCTTGTTTCTTCATGAAAACATGCACTTAAATGATCCAGTAATATTTGTGAACGGCATTATAAATGTTTATCACTGTTTTTACTGATACTTACTTTATTTCCTTTCTAAAAGTACTACCAGAACCTTTACCAAGTACTGATGAAATGTTCCTCGCCGCCCCCTCAGGCGTTTCGCGCCCTTTTCGCCCCCGCGCGCTTCCCGCCACAGCGTGAGGGGGACGAGGAGGATGAGGGGGGCGAGGAGGATGAGGGGG